CACATTACAAGGCTTTTCCTAAAATAACTAGTCTAATAATAGTCTATTAATTAGACTAAATGCAACACTAATACAATTAATTTTATTTGATCAAGTTCTTATATTTTAGAATTAGAAAATGAAAGTAGTAGTCCATCTCGTCTTCTTTTATTGATTATTTAAATAAAATATAAAAGGAAATAAACGATAGAAAAAGAAATAATAAAATATTATAAATTAAAACTTCTAATATCTTTTCGATCACTAGAAAAAATTTCACTTCTCACAAAAAGAAGATTATACTTGATTATCATTTATAATACGAAGCATCACATAAAATATTCTAAGTATCATATAATACGAGTAATATTCACAATTTTATTCAAATGAATCACGTAAAAAATATAAATGCAATCTGCTATTGTTATCGCCAAACTTAAGAAATAGAAACATGTCGTACTTCGTATTAGCTAGTTTTTCATAATAAATGTATGAAATGTGTTAAATTTAAAATGATATACAAGTATGTTAAATATGTATTTTCATGACTAAATTATTTATTTATATCTTAAAAATGAAGATTGAAGATAAATACAAAGTGCGTAAGTATACGTTGTTCGATGTTCGGTTCAATTTACGTTTTTTCAGTTTTAAATCAAACCAAACCATTCGATTTAAGTAAATTCCTACCAAACAATTTATTTACTTAAAAAAACTCCAAACAAACCAAATCAAACCACCTATTTCTAGTTGCCTTAGACAAACCAGTTTGCACATCCCTATTGGACTCCTGGCTACCCCGCAGCAGAAAGACTCCATATAACCGTGTCCGATCTTTTCTAAAACTAATCGAAAATCTTCTCCTTAATCCGAATTAGCACTCCAATTTTAGGGAAAAAGTTCCCGCTCACCCGAATTAGCACTTTCATCCGTCGGATTCATGCACCTCATCATCTACGTCTCTTGGCTTCCTTCCTCTTTCGTTCCCTCTACACCTCAAATCGCCTGAAATCCATCCACTCATATCGTCTGTTCCTCTTTCGCCGCCGGTTTCTTCACTCATATCATCCCTCCTGCCAGATCGTTGTAGCCGCTTATTCCAATCCTCCGTCTCAGAGGTACACGACTGATAATCGTCTGAAACTTTCAAATTCATTCATTCATGTCATCCCTAGATCAATTAATTCTTTTTCAGTATGTTTTTTGGTTAAATTTGCTCTTCCTTATATTTTTTCTTCGTTATTTGTCGTTCATTTGTCCTATAGATCCTAAAAAGATGTCTAATTGGCCGTTATGTTTTTGGCTTATTTCTTTTGTCTTATTTCTCATTTTCTGGATTCTTAATTGTTAAGATTCAATGATTTGTACTACTGCCGAACTACATCCTGTTGTTGCATCTTTATTCTGCTTGAGAGTGCCTTCACCAAGTAGAAGTGCTCAGGTCAGTTTTTTTCTTGAAATTGAGCCACGCTCATGAAGTTGATCATGGGATACTTGTAATCTCTTACTCTGCTAGCAGGCTCTAAGCTTGTGCAGATCACCTGTTGGAAGAAGCTGGTCAATGAACCAACAGAGGTTTTAAGTTTATGGTCTTATGTGTGTATAATAAACCGTAAAGAATGGAGGAAAAAGAAAAGAGGGGAGTTTTTTTCGAGACACGCCGTCATGCTTTAAGGCCTTACTGCTCCAATTATCCTCCGGCAATCACTAATCAGCAGAAAGAGGTGCGCCTGCAATCTACGACCTCATTGGTTTGGCTCTTAATTTTATATTTCAGTTATCGGCTGTTGGTGAAGCTTACTTTATTTTTCTTTGATGTCAATTTAGCTGAAAGAAGGTGCTAGTGGGAGTTACCTTTCACGAGGTATAGTCAGATTTTGCAGAATATTATCTGTATTATGTTTGTTGTTTGATGCTTCGCGTTATTTGAAGTGAACTTTTGTGCATTGGAATAACACCCGGAATTGATATTTGAAGTGAACTTTGGTGCATTAGAATAACACCCGGGCTTGATGTGTAGCTGACCAAGGGAAGAAAATCATACTCTGTATTGAGTTTACGGGATCATGATCCTGATTGTTTTAATCTTTCTGAAGATTCGGGGGATATATACTAGATTTTAAATGCACAATTTTATAAATTCCTTATCAAAGAAAATGTGATCTATTGCTTGTCTTTGCCAAATTGTAGTCCTTTTATGCTCTTTCACCGAAAACCTCTATGCATTATTTTCATTTTACGTGAAGGTATTGCTCATATTAAGGAGAAATGGAGCAACCACAAACCTTCAAAAAGATCAAGGAAATGTGCATCCCTGTTTGTTTCTGCTGGGGGTGATCTCGTGGCTGTAGCAACCAGGAACCAGATAACAATATTGAGGAAGGAGGATGACTACCAGGAACCTCGTGGAGTTTTTACCTGTAAGGATTATAACCTGCAATGTATCTAGTACATGATACTAGTACGTTACTAAGTCATTTTTAGTTATACCTCGTTTCTTTTACACTTCCAAATCAACGCTGCATTAATTTCTACGTAGTAGTTACATATTTTCTTTCTTTATTTTCTTTGATTTATTTGTGGTGGGGTGGGGTCCGGTAATCACATTGCCCAGGAAAGGAGGCCAGGATAGAAGTAAACGATCTCATGTAGTCATGTTTAATTTACTATTCATAAATTTACATTCACATTTCACAACTCTTAGTGTTGTTCCATACGTAAGTGGCAGGCTGATTATATAAATATTAATTGCAAATAACTTGTAAATTTAGCCTCACCAATTTTCTTTTACTTTGAAATAGGTGAAAATAATGTTGTATTTATGTTTGGGGCTTGGGCAGAAACTCATGATGTTCTTGGTGTTGTTGATGATGGAAGCATGCTATATCTAATTAGAGCTAATGGTGAAGAGATAACGAGATTCTCGAAGAGGCATTTGAAAGTTTCTTCACAAATAGTAGGTTTAGTTGTTCAAGATGATATCAATGTGAAGACATCATGCTTGTAAGTTAGTCTGTATTTACTCCATCATATATATTCTGTAGAACACATAATATGCTATAATGTTCTAAAAGCACTGAAAAATAATCTTTCAACAATAGGTCTCTTACTCTAAGCATCAATTTTTGAATCTTTTATAGGTGTACATTCAGTGTTTTCACTTCGGATGGTTCAGTTCATGATGTTGAGATCAGTCGAGATCCTGATGCTTCTGTTTTCTCTAGAGCTTCATTAATCAGTGATTCAATAGATAAGCATCAATTCCTTCAGCATGTTGTCTGTCTGGATTACCATCCAAAACTGTCTTTGTTAGCTGTAGTAAATCATGCTGGCAGTACGCAATCAGCGACTAATGGTAGTGGCATTAATCCTATTTTTCATTACCAATTATTGGCCTGGTAAAATGATTAATTCTCATTATATGCATCGGAACTCCTTTTCCAGGAGTGTACAGTGTTTCTCTCTGGCAGAGAAACAAGCACTTAGATCTCAAACTGGTGGTTTCTACTCAATTTGAGGGCTCAAATTTTATTCCAAAAGGTAATGCCAATCAAATGTCACTGCCAAAGGTGCACATTTCAGTGCAAGGAAAATTTGTTGCTGTTTTGGATGTGGAAGGGCATTTGGTTGTTCTAAAGTTTGATAATAAACTTCAATCTCTCACATTTACTACTGGAGAGGGGCACAAGTCAGATCTAATAAACAGTGGCCCAAGTTTGGCAAATATACACTTCAATGAGATAGTGGATTTTGCCTGGTGGTCTGATAATATTCTTACTTTAGCAGCAAGGAGTGGTACTATCGCCATGTTTGACATGTATGCTGGCATCAATGTATTGGAGACTGATATTAAATATTCGCTGCCACTTCTGGAAAGACCACAAAATCTCCCCGGAAACCTTTTCCTTTTAGAAAGCAAGTCACTTGATGGGAGCTACACATCGTCAGAAGAAAAGGGTGCAAGAGATGTGCACCTTATCGAGTGGGATGCTGTTTATGCGAATAACCAGTTTGATTGGACCAAATTGGAGTGGAGCTTGGTCTCATTATCTGAACGATCAGTTCTAGAAATGTATAACATACTAATTTCTCAGCATGAATATCAGGCTGCTCTCGTTTTTGCAGAGCATCATTCTCTGGATAAAGATGAAGCTCTGAAGTCACAGTGGCTCCATTCTTCCCATGGAAAAAATGAAATAAATACTTTGCTGGCAACTATCAAAGATAAAGTTTTTGTGCTCTTTGAATGTGTTGATCGGTTTGGACCAACAGAAGATGCAGTGAGGGCTTTGCTTGATCATGGTTTCCGCCTGACAGACTCTTATAGGTTTTCCAAGTCTGAGGGCATTGAGCAGGATGAAATATGGGATTTCCGTCTGACAAGGCTGAGATTGTTACACCTGAAAGACAGGCTAGAGACATTTCTTGGCATAAACATGGGCAGGTGGGTCTTTTGCTTTTAGTTTTTTTTTAGAAGCTAGTTTTTTGAACTAATTACTTTCTGTGCTCAGACCAACTGTATTATTATGCACTTTGCTGTAGGCATGGCGGTGTTCCTTTTGATCTGATTCTAATGAATTCATATTTTGGAATTGTTGGGGAATGGAAGGGGATTTAAGCTGGAAGATTCATTCTCTTTGTGTTTGATTGCCTTTGTTTCTCATTTGCTCCCTTTTGGTTCAGTTCTCATTGTTCTACTGATTTGCATGATAGGGATAGACCTATTAGGATATTAAATAGAAGAGTTAGTGTAGTTATATTTCTGTTTGAGCTAATAAATACATTCTGTTAGTTCGGATACTATAAATAGATGTAAAGTGGAAATAGTTGGGAGGCTTTTGGACTGTTTGTCTTGGGACTTGGGAAGACTGAGACTAATAATCTCTTTCTTTGGGGAGCTTCGGCTTTTGGGGGGCTTTGGCCATAGCTTCGTGTTACTGTTCTTCATCAATAAAGCTTTTCTATATTGTTCTTGATATTCTTTTCTGTAATTGTCTTGAATTCCTTGAGGATTCTATCAGTGGTATCAGAGCACGTTGATCGCTGGATGAGAAATACGCGTGCTAAGATGGAAGGTCGTATAACAGAAGTGGAAAGAAACATGGACGACATAGCAAGAAACCAAAGAGAAGCGGCGGGAAGGCAGGATACTTTGGAGACGATGATGATCGCTATGCAGACCACCCTCGCAGACATTCAGAATCGACTTCCAGGTGGTTCGAGAAGTAGATCACATGTTTCCTCGACATCGCATCGCACTAATCACCGACATCGATCGCGAAATTCAACGAAGGATGATGAATCCGACGGAAGTTCTGATCATTCTTCTCATTGCAGGCATCGACATCACCAAGAACATAACACACACCATCGAACGGGAAGGAAGATCGATTTACCACTATTCAATGGAGATGACGCATACGGATGGTTGGTGAGGATCGATAGATATTTCCGTCTGAACCAGATCGAGGAAGAAGAGAAAGTGAACGTAGCAGTGGTCGCCATGGAAGATAGAGCACTGAGTTGGTTTCAGTGGTGGGAGAACCAGACGCGCGAGAAAAACTGGGACACTATGATGGAAGCCTTAACTCGCAGATTCCAACCAGAGCTAGTACACAATCCCTTGGGGCCTTTATTAGGTTTGAAACAAAAAGGAACTGTGAAAGAATTCCGTGAACAGTTTGAAATGGCAATAGCATCACAAGGTGATCTGAGTACGAAGGTAACTAAAGGCATCTTCTTAAATGGATTGAAGAAGGATATAAAAGCTGAGTTAAAACTCTATCATTCTAGAGACTTGGCTGAAATCATGGATACAGCTTTATTGATAGAGAATAAAAATAATGAAGTGATGGCTAGGAGGAATAAGGAGGAAGGGAAGAAGTTATGGAAGAGTAACATGACTGGAGGACATGGTTATAACAAATGGGGGGATGGTAGTAGAAAAAACTATAATATGAATTCCACAAACCCATCTGTGAAGAACTCAGATGATAGCAAGAAGCAAGAGGAAGGCTCAAGCTCTATATCTAAGAAGATAGGCCCCAGATTAACCCAGAATGAACTTTTGGAGAGAAGTAAGAAGGGGCTCTGCTTCAAATGTGGTGACAGATGGAATAGAGGCCATATTTGCAGTATGAAAAATTTTAAAATGATGTTGATGGAACAATCTGAAGGAGAGGAAGGATCTGAAACTGCATCTAGTGACTCAGAAAAAGGAGAAGGGCTGCATATGGAACCCAAGACTATGCAGTTGTCAGTCCTAAGTAAAATAGGAAGCTCTTCCATGAAGACTTTCAAGGTCAAGGGAGAATTGAAATGGTCAGAAAATGAAAAACAGGTGAATATCTTGATAGATAGTGGTGCAACCCACAACTTTATATCCCAGCAATTGGTAGAAAAATGGAAAATACCTTTCCAGAGAATCAAGGGATATAAGGTACAAATAGGGAATGGAGAATTGATTCCCAACTATGGCAGATGTGAAGGAATGAAATTGAATGTACAGGGAAATGAAATTCAACAGAATTTCTATATGTTGGAGCTAGGTGGGACTGACATGGTGTTAGGAATTGAATGGTTGACTGACCTAGGTGATATGGAAGTTAATTTCCAAAACCAGATCATAAAATGGAAGAAACAAGAGCTGAATCATATTATTCAAGGAGATGCAACACTGAATAATATGGAAGTATCACTGGAGACTATGAATCACATCTCACAGCAAACAGGTAATGGATATTTGTTGTTCTGTGAGGGACAAAGTACTGATCAGAAGCAGGAACTGATAGATGAAGACAGATGGCAAGAGATTGTAAAAGAATGCCCTGAAGTTTTCAAGTCAATTCTGGATAAAATGTCCTGGCATTTGTGTAATTCTGCTGTGAACTATGTATGGAAGAAGATGGAAGCAGCAAGGTTAAAAGTCCAACAATCAATCCAGTATTGGAAAGGGAGAGGTGCTAAGATGAAGGGAAAGAAGAATTTGGTGGCTGTATCCTATCACCCACCTTGAGGGCAAGGTGGATGTTTAGGAGGGGAGTATTGACAGGGATAGACCTATTAGGATATTAAATAGAAGAGTTAGTGCAGTTATATTTCTGTTTGAGCTAATAAATACATTCTGTTAGTTCGGATACTATAAATAGATGTAAAGTGGGAATAGTTGGGAGGCTTTTGGACTGTTTGTCTTGGGACTTGGGAAGACTGAGACTAATAATCTCTTTCTTTGGGGAGCTTCGGCTTTTGGGGGCTTCGGCCATAGCTTCGTGTTACTGGTCTTCATCAATAAAGCTTTTCTATATTGTTCTTGATATTCTTTTCTGTAATTGTCTTGAATTCCTTGAGGATTCTATCATTGCACAGTGCCAATTGTGAATGACATATTTATTTTAATAGCTTGTGATCTTATTGTATTTATTTATATCTACTAAAGTTGTTCCAATCGACTTGGAACTAATTACGTAGAGTTTTGCAGGTTTTCTGTGCAGGAGTACAAGAAATTTTGCAACCTGCCCATCAAAGAAGTTGCCATTGGACTTGCAGAAGGTGGAAAGATTGGGGCTCTAAACCTTCTCTTCAAGCGTCATCCTTATTCTTTGACTTCTTGTATGTTGGATGTCTTGTCTGCTATCCCTGAAACTATTTCTGTTCAAACATATGGACATCTACTTCCTGGGAATTCCCCTCCAAATATTGCTATACGGGAAGACGATTGGGTTGAATGTATTGAGATGTTTACTTTCATCAGCAATCTCCCTGAGAATCACGAGAACAGCATTCCGATTAGTACTGAACCAATTGTCAAGCAATCCGTGGGGTATCATTGGCCTTCACTTACTGATCTCTATTCATGGTATAAAAATAGAGCCAGAGATATCGATACCTTAAGTGGGCAGCTAGACAACTGCATCTCTTTAATTGATATTGCTATTCGGAAAGGCATTATTCATCTAAAGCCATTTTTAGAAGAAATCTCCTACTTAAAAGAACTTATATATAGTGACGAAGGTGACAACACAATGAATTCTTCTTTGAGTCTTTCGACTTGGGAGATTTTGTCTGATTATGAAAGGTTTAAGTTGATGCTAAGTGGGGTCAATGAGGAAATTGTTATTAGGAGATTACATAATAAAGCGATCCCATTCATGAAGAAGAGACTTCACTCTATGAATGTAATTCCTGACTCAGCTGAGGAGCAACCCTCCTCTTTATTGAACTCGGCTGAGTCATTTCTGGTCAGATGGCTGAAAGAGATTGCTTCACAGAATAAATTGGAGGTGTGCTTAATTGTAATTGAAGAGGGATGCAAGGATGTTCATAATAATTGTTTTTTCATAGATGAAGCTGAAGCTGTAGATTGTGCTCTGCAATGCATATACCGGTGCTCCGTTACAGATAGATGGAGTACTATGGCTTCCATCTTGTCAAAACTTCCAAACATAGGAGGTAAAATCCCATCATATTGAATGCTTGTATAATTTCCCGAATTTGAAATGCCCATTGGTCTTTTCTAATTTTATGACTTCTGTTGAACACTTTTCTGTGTATGAAAAAAATTTATCGGCTGATAGTATATACAATGCTCATTTTTCAAAGAAAGCGTCAGTTGCAAAAAGTTTTGCCGTTTTTCCACACCCTCTGATTTTGAGAGGTGTGTGTCACTCTTTAGATACACTTTTTTCAGAGCATGAAAAGATCTGATAATCTGATCATCTGCACATTGTTGTTTTTTTAATAAAGGCACCACAACGATACTCCAAAAATTCATTTTCCCAATACATAAGCAGTTGCCTCCTCCTCTTTCTCTTAGTCATGATCTGCTGCATCTTCCAGTTGTTCATCTTCAGGTGCCCCACGGAGATTTTGAGTGGTGGTGGTGGGGGGGGGGACTAGGCTAAATGTAATATATTTTTTAAATATATGTTGATACTCATTTTATTCATTTACTGCTTATATTAATAACTCATTTGCATTTGCATTCCCTAAGGTAAAAGAAAACACAAAACTACTTTGGCATTTACCCCTCCCTCAGCATGTTCCATGATCCAAACATACCTTTCAGTGTTGAGTAAATATGGAATAGTTTGTCTGGCCGACATTAAATGCATTGTTAAATCTCCCTGCAGTTTCCATAGTGGATCTTGACATATTTATTCGAATTAATAAATGAATGATTTAGCAGAGTTTGACGATGCACGTCTCAAGGAAAGACTTAAACTCTCAGAAGGTCATGTTGAAGCGGGAAGGCTTTTAGTATATTATCAGGTTCCAAAGCCTATTAGCTTTTTCCTTGAACCTGATTCAGATGGAAAGGGAATAAAGCAGATTCTCCGTCTTATACTATCCAAATTTATTCGTCGACAACCGGCGCAAACAGATAATGATTGGGCAAACATGTGGCGCGACTTACTATATTTGCAAGAGAAGGCATTTCCCTTCATAGACCTGGAATATGTCTTGATGGAATTTTGCAGGGGGTTGTTGAAAGCTGGAAAATTTTCACTTGCCAGGAGCTATTTCAGGGGTGCTGGTTCTGTATCGCTTGCATCTGATAAAGCAGAGAATCTTGTCATTCAAGCTGCACGTGAGTATTTCTTTTCAGCATCAAGCCTTGCATGTTCTGAGGTAAGTGGACTCTATGGCTTTACTATTTACCATGTAGATTGCACTAACTCATATCTGTACCAGTTATACGTCCTATTTACCTTGTCAAGGTTGGTATAATTAAAACTTAAGATGTTGAATAATGCGAAAGGCATATGATACTATTCTATTGGAAATATGTTCAAGTATTTTTAGTCTTGTTTTTTTTTTAAAATTTATCTTACTTGATATTACTGTCCCCAAAACATGAGTACAGTTTAACATGAAATTTAATGGCATTTTCATGTCCTAGTTAAACAAAAGAAACTATTTTTCATTACGCTGAATGTACATTTTCCAAATAAAGTGTTCCAAACAAGCCAAGTATGTTAACTTTAGTTTGATAACAAATAAATGCAAAGATAGACTACCTCCGTTCTTTTTTTTAATGCAACATGTTGAATTTTACACTATTCACATGCTCTACTTTGACTACATTTTATTTATTAATCATCATCATCACCCCAGTGCCGCAGAGGCTCCCACCCACGGTGGGGTAGGGGGGGGTCGGATGTACGCAATCTTACCCCTGTACTAAAGCACAGATAGACTGTTTTCGAATGACCTATAGTGAAAATCACGTCGAAAATTGCATAGATTGACTGTTAATTTTGAAAATTAAATTTAATATATCACAAATTTAATTTTTGAAAATTATTGTTAAGTTCCTCTCATTTTAAATTTTTAAAATCTGATTTTTCTAATATTTTACTAATAAGGAATGAAATATATTAATGGAATAATGGTCAAACTTGTGTGTTGGCAAACGTGAAAATTCGAACGTTGCAACTTAAAAAGAATGGAGGAAGTATTTAGGATTGATAATTTATAAGAGTACAAGGCTTGTAGCTTACTAAAAGTGGAAGTTCTAATTTTCATTAAACTAATCTAAATTTTCCAAATAAGTTGTCCCAAACAAGCAAAGTATGTTAACTTTTGTTTGAAAAACAAATTGTAAAAATATATTTAGGAATGAGGATTGGTAATTTACAAGAGTTGTACCTTACCAAAAGTAGGAAGTTGTAACTTGACAAAAAGACTTCTTCTTTTGAATGGAGGGAGTAATTGAATAGATTATTAAAAAAAGTAAATTTGTGATGATCAAGTCTTGAAACATGCAGATCTGGAAGGCCAAGGAATGTCTCAACATTCTGCCAAACAACAGAAGTGTGATTGCTGAGGCTGATATCATTAATGCTGTAACTGTTAAGCTTCCAAACCTTGGAGTGAGCCTTTTACCAATGCAATTCAAGCAAATCAAAGATCCAATGGAAATCATCAAGCTCGCAATTACAAGTCAAAGCGGAGCGTATTTGAATGTTGATGAAATCATAGAAATAGCCAAGCTTCTTGGTCTGAGTGCTCAAGATGACATATCAGCTGTACAAGAAGCCATTGCAAGAGAAGCTGCAGTTGTTGGGGATCTTCAACTGGCTTTTGAACTTTGTCTTATTTTGGCCAAAAAGGGGCATGGATCTGTTTGGGATTTATGTGTGGCACTGGCAAGAGGCCCCCCTCTAGATAACATGGACATAAGCTCTCGAAAACAACTGTTCAGGTTTGCTTTGAGTCACTGTGATGGAGAATCAATTGGAGAGTTACTGCATGGATGGAAAGATCTTGATATGCAAATGCAGTGTGAATATTTAATGATAAAAACAGGAAAAGAACCTCGACCCATATTCATTCAGGATTCTCTTGATCAGGAAGCACAACTTAACCTCATAAAGGGCTTGCTTTCTCAAGTCGCAAAAGATTTACACTTAAGTGGTGATGTTGTTTCTGAATCAATTCTTAGAGACAATGGGAGAATACTGCCATTTGCTGCTATGAAGCTTCCTTGGTTGATTGAACTAACTCAAGAAGCTAGGAATGGTAAGAAACGTAGCAGTGTAAGAACACTAGCAATCGTTGCTATTTTGTCATGGTTGGCATGTAATGGTTTTGCTCCGAAGGATGACGTGATTGCATCGCTGGCAAAGTCAATTATGGAATCACCTGTATCTGAAGAGGAGGACATCGCTGGGTGTTCTTATTTGTTAAATCTTGTCGATGCATATTATGGAGTGGGAATAATTGAAGAAAATTTGAGAACTAGGGAGAACTATAGTGAAAAAACTAGCATTATGAATACTGGGATGATTTATGGTCTACTAAACAGCAGTGGAGCCAAGTCTGAAGAACCTGCTCACCGGAGAGAGCTAATTATAAGGAGTTTTCAACAGAATAAGTCAATCACTTCAGGTGATGTTTTTTCTAGCCCATGTATTGAAATTCTCTACTGGTGCTTTTAATATCTATTGTTTTAATTTATTTCTAAATTTAGATGAGAGGGATAGAATAGACAAAGCCCAATCCACATTCTGGAAGGAGTGGAAAGTTAAACTGGAAGAGCAGAAGCGTTTGGCTGACCATTCAAGGGTTTTGGAACAAATCATTCCTGGTGTTGAAGTGAAACGCTTTTTGTCTGGAGACACGGACTACATTGAAAGCACCATGCTATCACTAATTGATTCTGTAAAACTGGAGAAGAGACATATATTCAAGGATGTATCAAATTTGGCACACACCTATGGTTTAGATCGGTGCAAGGTATGTTTGTGTTCCTGTACCCCAGGTTGTTTAGCTTAATGCAACTGACCATTTCAATGTCATTTTGAAATTTCTAACGGTCCATTTGGAACTCGGTAAAGAAAACAGGGGGGATAGAGGGGTAGTTTGGAAGGGAAAAAATGTGGGTTAAAATAAAAATTTGGTTCACTCAATTAATCAAATTCAGCTATTTATTCAAACTCAATTTTGTTATAAATTTCTATTTTATAAAGACTTGAGAAGTGTACATATATTTAGAACAATTTGAAAGTCTAGTGAAATATGGTGTTCCTTCAGATTTTTAAATGTAAAGCTAAACATAAAAGAATCATTTTCCTTGGCCGCCTTTGCCTGCCATTTCCAAGTTCCAGAATAGTCTAACTGTTGTTCATCATGCTCCATTCCTGTTATATAGCTGATCCTGCAATACTTGAAGTCCATATTCATTTCTGAGGCTTGGAATGTTCATGATCTAATATCTGAAGTGTCAGAGTTTAAAGGAGAGCTTCATGGCTTCGCCAGGGAAACTATTAAATGTTTCTCTTTGTTCATCTACCCTTCACTTAATGGCCATGACAAGGGTCGGCTTTCTTTCATGTATGACATACTCTCTGATTGCTGCTCAATGCTCTCAGAACAAAATGAAACAATACCTATCATGGATCAAGATTCTGTGTATAGAAGAACTTCGACTTGGTTTGTCCGCTTTTACAAAGTTTCTGCAGAAGAATGTAACACAGTGTCATCTATTGTAAGTTTGAATTTTAAAAACATTGCTGGATTGCAAGGTTTGAATTTGGAAAGCTTCAATGCGGAAGTCTGTTCACACATAAATGAAGCCTATGTTGATCTTCTGGCCAAGATGGTCAAGAGACTTGTTGAGGCTTGTGAAGATCCAGTGCCCGATGGCATCCTGTCATGGCAGGACGTCTATGGACACCATATACTGGATTTGGTAACTGCTTTGGAGACCAAGGAAAAGTCAGAAACTGCACATCTTGAAAACCCTGAAGTCTTCCATAGCTTTCTAACTCAGATCGAGCAAACCTATGATGTTGGTAGAAAGTATCTAAAGTTCATCTCCACCCCTTTAGTCATTGAGATAACTAAACGGTTCTTGACTGTGGTAGTGCCTTCAGTAAAAACTTTTAACCCTGGTTGGAAGGAAAGCCTCGTCTTGTTTGTGGATATCTGGCTCAGAATTCTGAATGATCTACGGGAGATAGTTGCATTTCCTGCCAATTCATCAGAGAAGGTTGAATCGGAAATTTCAGTTATATGCCTTAGAACTTTACAGAACCTCATTGTCAGAGAAAAAATATCACCAACCCAGGGTTGGGCTACTGTTTTGTGCCTTCTTACTAGCTTTGGTTATGGTGCATTAGAAGCTTCTGTGGAGATCTATAATTTCTTCAGGGCAATGATAATTACCGGCTGCATGTTCGAAGCCATTTCTGAGGTATTTTCTGAGGCAACAATATGTGAAAGAACACACGATCTTCAGCATCTTTATCTAATCATCTTGAATCCCATTATGCAAGATCTGTCAAGTCAATCCCCCGAGGAGTATTATCACCTACATCACTTTTTGGCATCTTTGAGTAGATTAGAAGGTGATATAGAGACCCTACAGAGCATAAGGAGGGCAGTGTGGGAAAGAATGGCTGAATTTTCAGACAACTTAGAGATTCCTAGCCATGTTCGAGTTCACATATTGGAAATCATGCAATTCATTTCAGCTTCTTCCTCTTCTAACAGTAGTAGGCATAATGATAGTAGTTATAATAATGGTAATATGAAAAAAGGGTTTTCTTCTGGGATTCATACTACCAACCTTCTTCCTTGGGAAGGTTGGGTGAATCTGCAAACTGAAAATAGCGAGACAAATGATGAGATTCCAAACACTTTGGCTGCACTCAAGTCTACACATCTTGGGCGTGCCATCTTACCTACCCTCGAGATCACACCGGAAGATCTTCTGACTGTTGAAACAGCTGTTTCCTGTTTCCTCAAAATATCTTCATATGCAGTATCGGAATCTCATGTTAACACTTTGCTTGCTATTTTGAGAGAGTGGGAGGGTCTCTTTGCTACTGGAAGGACAGACTTGGTCATTGCATCTGACAGTGGGAATAATTGGGGAAATGATGAGTGGGATGATGAGGGATGGGAAAGCTTTCATCAAGAAGATAAAGTTGAGTTGGGAACGGAGAAAGATGAAAACTTTTCTATCCATCCGCTCCATGTGTGCTGGATGGAGATCTTTAAGAAACTACTAGCGATGGCTCGATTCAAAGATTTGTTGAAATTGGTTGACCGGTCCAATGGAAAAAGTAACCAAACATTGCTTGATAAGGAAGGTGCTTATAGTTTAAGCCAGACTGCACTTGAGATAGACTGCTTCTTATCACTCAAACTGATGCTTCTGTTTCCATACAAGGAAATTCACTTTCAGTGCTTAGATGCAGTTGAGAAAAAGTTGAAAAATGAAGGCATTTCGGATGACATCAGCTGGGACCATGATTTTATGATTTTAGTTTTATCATCTGAAGTCGTTTCAACTGTTATGTCCAATTCTTCGTACGGCACAGTTTTCTCATACCTCTGCTATTTGGTTGGAAGCCTCTCACGGAAGTCCCGTGAATCTTGGGAACTTGAAGCTGATGATGTGAATGAAATGTTTGTATTTACAAAAGTTGTGTTCCCGTGTTTCATATCAGAGCTCATAAATGCAGAGCAGCAGATCCTGGCGGGACTTCTGGTCACTAAATTCATGCATGTGAATGCTTCTGTGAGTCTAGTTAACATTGCAGAGGCTGGCCTTAGGAAGTATTTGGAAACAGAGATCAATGTTCCTTTGGGTATTGAGTTGTCTCGGGATAATCGGGATGGTTCTGAGTTGTTAGCTAACTCCCTCTCCAATTTAAGGGGTAAACTGGGAAATTTGATGCGGTCTGCATTGTCTTTGCTTTCTGTTGATGCCCAAGGATAAACCTTGAGATTTTATTTTGGGGAGGAGTGGGGTGCACAGCCGAAAGGGATATAAACCTTGAGATTGTTCATTGATGTTTTGTTCTTGAGTTTTTATTTCAATGGAGGAATGAAAAAGATATATGTTTTCATATCTGCTACCGTCAACTACCAATTTGTTTAGTCCATAGAAAGGTTCAGCTCACGATATCCATCCTATACGAAGTGACCTAGCTTAGGGAGTTAGGGGTCATTCTGGGTCTGAACACCACCAGTTTGGTAATTTTTTTATATTTAATGTAAAAGGTTTCGTGTAAAAAGTTATATGAGAGATTGTTTATCAGTCCATTACAATATTTTATCCTGCTTACACTATGCACATAGGTAATATTATTGGCTAAAGAGTGCTCATCGCATGGTTTTATGATTAACTAACATAAGCCTTGGTTTTAAAAAAAAAGCTATCAATAGCTAATTGCACTGATAACTATAAGACAATTACTGAATATTTTCTAAACTATCAAATCATTTTCATTTACCCCAGTGCCGCAAAGGCTCCCACCTACGGTGGGGTAAGGGGGAGTCGGATACTCGGATGTACGCAGTCTTACCCCTGTACTAAAGCACAAAGACTGTTTCTGAATGACTCATAGTGAAACTCGCGTCCAAAATTGCATTGATTGACTGTTGTTTCATAACAAAGAAACGTAGATAGTTTAGTGAGCCATTTTGCTTTATTTTATCATATTCTCAAGCCAAAAAATAATGAATCTGGCCCTATTGCAAATGATGGAAAATTATTCAAGGCAAATTATTAATTATACCGTTTGATTTGTGAACGGTTCATTTTTCATAAGCTGAAAATCACAACAGCATTGTTTTATTCTCGACTTCGTTCTTCTCGTTCAGAGTTCAGACCCAAAAAGTTAAAAGAAGCACATTTTTATTTCCTCTTCTTAATTTATGAAGAATTTCTCTATATTTTCTTTTCTTACTCTATTTTAATTTAAGTTACCAATCAATTATCAATCTAGAATTATCTGTATCTTTATTAATTTACAAGTTAAGTGTTCTTCATGTATACATTAGAAAACTTCTTATATACGGAGTATTTTTTAATACGGTTGAAGAGAAGCCATTACCTATTCGTCATCTCCAATGCTCAGACCAAAAAAAAAAAGAAAAAGAAAAACGGTGTGGGATGATGTTGACAAAGATGTGGATAGTGGCGGAGGCGACAAATTAGATAGTCGGAGGCAGCAACATGGAGGAGTCGTGAGTGTGAGGAGAGAAAGGGTGCTTTCTTATTAAAACTTGTGTTCGGAAAAGAAAGAGGGAGGACAGTTTTGATTATTTGGAACAAGTTTATAGCATAGTGATTATTTTTCTTAGAGTTTTGTTCTGGCGTAATTGATCGAGTGATGATTTTTTATTGTTCGTGGTTGGTAAGTCTGATTCAATCTCATTACTTGTTCTTGTCCTGAATCATCGCTCACTACAGGAGAAAGTTAGCGCTCAATTGGTTCTCCCTTTCGGTGACCGGTCAAACCGAAATTTTAGCTCATTTCTATGCGGCTAAGTTTCCTTTGTTGGTTTCTAGTCAAGTTAATTATCCTTTTTCCCTTTCCGGCTAGTTTGCTTTTGAGTAAGACTACATAGTTGTGACATTAGTTAACTTGTTAGATCCTTTGGAGGCAATTCAATTCTATGTTTCATCTAAATGTAATCTCGATCTATTGTATTGTTTTATTTCTTGTTATTTTTATCATTAAAAAAAATCTTTTTGCCAAAAGAAGTATGACTAAAAACATATTCTCATTGTTTTTTCTTTATTTTTCCTTCTAATTTCAAGCCCATTTGGTATCCCTGTTTGCGAATTATCAGTCTTACCAATCATCTTTTTCACCAAACATGCAACATTTAAATTCACGTGTAAAATTGTGTAATAATTGTAAAATTGAAGTTACTTTTCTTACTGAATTAGTTGAAGTTACTATAAAGGCCATTTTTACTTATATATACTTTTGTTTCTTACAATTAACAAAGTTTAAGAGTGAAATAGTACTGGTAGCTAATATTGTTGAAAAAGAGACAGTGAAAAAGTATTAAAAAAACATGTAAAAATGTTTTTTAATGAAAACTTGCATCTATTCATATCATAAGTTTCAGGATCATTACATCAATCAAAGGAAAAACAAATCTGACACCAATTAAACTCCAACAACTACGACTGTAAACCCTATGTTCAGACTCAGAGACGGTCACCCCTGAAAGAGCAACTTGAATTGCTAACCATGCACCGGGCTTGACAAAACCATCTTTGTTCCCATAGATCCAAACATACATAATGACATAAAAAGGCTACATTCCCAAACAAACTCACAAACCTAACAACATAGACGGTAACAAGAAATCTAATGACAATAATAAAAACTAATAGGAGGAGAACGAAACATGAAAAAAAAACTAAATAAGCAAAATAAATATCTTGAACCATAGCACCTCGTTCAACCTCTGGAGGTGGATTAGGAGGAGTCCAGACCATCACTATGATTGTTGACACGAGCATGGCACGGTTCCTGCCCGTTGCTTGATTGATTCCCTAACGTGCAACATTCGTCTGTCCAGCAATTTCAACCCCCGTGGACGCCTCCCTTTCTCCCTCCCTTGGCTCTCGTAACTCCTTCTCCATTGGCCGCCACATCACGACTGGCAATATTTCTGCTAACGTTTTCCTTCTCTCCTAAACTGATCGCCGCATCAAAGGACGACTACAACTCTAGCCGTACACATGGCGGCAAAAGCTGGAAACCCTTATTAAGGGAGACGCCAGCTAGCCGTAAAGATGTTTTTTTTTTGAAATGTCGTAAAGATGTTGAAAAAGTGAAAATATTAGGACCTGTTTACTAGCAGAGATATTTTCTGTTTTTCAAAAAAATTGGAAAACTGGAGATAGAAAAATTAGAAAAGGTGTTTACCTAACCATTTTTCAAAAAAAACAAAAAACGAAACATATCTCACGTTTTACCTCTGAAATAGAAAACCGACTTTTATGCGTTTTCACTATTTAGAAAACACGTTGCTACAGTAACTTGCTCGCTAGCCTTCTTCCCCTTCCTTCTTTTCCCCTTGACTCCGCCTAAGCTTCTCCGCCTACGTTCTCCGCCTACCTTCTTTAGTACTTGGCTTTAACCGAGCCTTCCCTTCACCCGCCTGCCCTATTTAACCTAGGAGCTGTAACGTATTGGAGAAGTGGACAGCAATTTGAAGAACTAGTAAACTCACCCGTGCGATGCACGGTTTGAGAATTTTTCTTTCAAATTTATGTGTGCTTAGTAATTCAAATCACACTATCAATTAATGACAACATCTATCTTCATGTAATACTGATATAAATCAAAGCAGTAAACGAAACACACTTATAATATGTCAAAATGAGATTACTAAGCATTACTTATAAGATCAAAATTCAAAAACATCCAACAAATACATTGATACCATAACTATACTAAAGCACTACTTCCGGGTACTTCTTATTGGCCTCCATACATGCTATGAACATACAATCCTTAACTGAACATGCCCGAACCACTGAATCCAGAGGCTGATCATGGCAAAAGACAACATTTTTTTCTTCCGGCAAATGGAAGCTCAAAGGTTCAATTGCCGGGGTCTTATATTGAATTTCAAACCCAAATATGCGCCAAGCAGCCTCGCACGCAGAAATGTATCTACAGTCATAGTACATCTGTATATCACCGACTAATTGTGCATCGCACGGTTAACATTTGAAGTTGTTAATAGGAATGCTTGAGAATCAATACATTTTAGCTCACAATGTTTTGCTAGTAATTCACCTTGCGATGCGCAAATGATTTTGCCATTTTTTTTCATTTTCAAAGGTTTATATAGATTTATCGAAGATAAATTATTTATAATAACTAAGTAATAAGGTGACTATTAATTTACATGAATTGAACTTTTAGATGAATTGTCTCTCTAAACAAATAAAATAAGGAAGTAAAATATGTAAAAGTGTGTTATGTCATTCTTGAATTATATTGAATCTAAATTTGTGGGAAATGTTCAAATAGGTGTTTCTACTATTTCTAATATTCAAGTGTGGTCTGGTCTGGTTTATTTAAGTTTGGTTTGGTCTGATACAGAAATAAGTGTAAGTATAAACATCTCAAGTAATATGGTGACAATGCATTTATACGAATTGCATTTTTTTAGACAAATTGCCCAGGTAAATTGGCAAATCAGGGGAGGGGGTGTGCGAATATGTGAAAGTGTGTTATGACATTATTAAACAATACTCAAAAATGAATTTGTGAGAAAATGTTATTTGAGTTCGTATATGAAAAGTAATGCTATCATTTAAACAAAATAACTTTCGAAACACATTCAATACATATAATCTATAGTAGTTCTTAATTCAAAAATAAGTACAAATCCAATTTCTAATTTCACTCCCTCCGTATTTTACTACCTCCATAGTTTACTCCCTCCATTTTTGATAAAATTTTCCTTTAAAACTACCCAATTATCCTTACTTTTTCTAACTTTTATATGGAGTATTTTTTTTCCTTCTTTTTCATCCCTTTTCCTACTTTTTCTACGCTATTCATTATCCCGTACTATTTTACCCTTAAATATTGTACACCCAATGCAATGATCTTTTAAATACTGAGGGAGTCTACCGTATAAACTTATCCAAAATTGATATCCCAACTTTAATAAATTATTACTTCACATATCGGGGCATTATTTTAATCATGTGGTATAGCCGTATAGGTTACAAACAATTGAAAAACATAATTTGATAAAACCATCCATTCTAAATACATTGGAAATTGGTGGAAATAAGTAGACCATAAAATATGTAAAGTTAATTTGGGTACAATTTTTTTTATAGACTACGTATTTTTTTTAGAAAATCTGTAATTTTCAACTGTCCCACAGTAATTACTCCATATTTTCTTACTAACCTGACTGCATACACCGATACACGTACTTCAGATAGTTAATACTCCGTATTAGTTTTATTAATAAAAGCCCAAATCCAACTACTAACCCATTTAAATTTGGCAGCCCAAATTAAAACTATTCACACCCTCCAAGACACACGTTAACATCATTCGTAGGGTTTGGCGTTCCAGCTTCTAGATTCTGCCCACTCCATCTCCGTTTCTAAGTTCCGACTACATACGAAGCATCTGACCTCAAATCAGCTTTCCCTACTTAGCATTTGTTTAGAAATCAGCGACCCTCCATCTACAAAACCTACTACAGAAATCCTTAACACAAAAAAGGATGCCTGTAATTCCTACCACTTTAATTAACGATTCTGGAGTTAAAGACAACAAAACCAAAGATTCTGGATTCTAGATGGGTAACACTCTGTACTCCAACAAAAAGGGAGATTCATACCATTTGTGTATATTCAGAGTTAAAGAACCGTTAAACATGTTAAGTGTAAGCCTCATTTAGTTTTGTCCTAATAGTTTTTCCTTACATGCATCTCGAGTATCACTAAACTTTTAAATCAAAACACCCAATTTTCGATTCAATACAAATCAAGAAAATTTACCCGATTGCCATTTTAGAAGTTCCAGATCCGCTGAGTTTTGTAAGTCTGTTTGAGAGTCTTATTTTAATTTTTTGCACGGAGTATCATACTCCTTTTTTTTTTTAATTCGAATTCTGTTTATTTTCTTCTTTACATGCAGCTCGAGATTTATTATGATATCCCATTTTAGCATCAAGTTTATGACCTTGCCTGTTCAACTAATAAATCTAATAAGTTGAGTTTAAATGTCAAAGTTATATATTTTTTAACTTTAAAATATTTCTTCTATAACAATATTTTTGAGGAATATATGAAAGGTTTGTTATAACATATGAAAATTTATTTATGTTGAGGAATACATACGAAGTTTTTTTATTAAGTTATTTTACACATAAACCCAAACTTAATTCAATATATGAGAGGTTAGTCTTTCTTTAACAATGTCTTTATCTAAATCATACTAATAAATCATACTCCCTCCGTCTCCGAAAGAAGTTCTCACTTTTCTTATTTGGATGTCCCTAATTTAAGTTCCCATTTCCTTAAATGGAAAGTTATATACATCAAAACAGTGCCAAATAGTGCAAAACAGTGTCAAACAGTGCCAAACAGTGTCGAAACAGTGTCAAAACAGTAAAATTTACCCCCTGATAAGTTTACTTGCATAAAAGCGTGTGAAAGTCAAATGAGGAACTTCTTTTGGGGACGGAGGGAGTATAAAATAGTAAATAGTGAAATGGACTAAGAGTAATCTTAGTGCTCTTCAATACTCCCATATTCTATTTATGTATTTCAATAGTACCATAATGTATTCATGCACAACTACATATACCAAATAGTTGAGATTTCTGGAGATTGCACAAATATGCAAATCTTCTTCCATATAAACTTTAGAGAATCTGAACTTTACAAATCATCTTCTATTTAACTTTAAAATGTCACTCATACGCTATAGCTGTTTTTATCAACAAAACAAATTGGTAAATTGCCTTTTTATATCTTCTAACCTAACATCGTCATTGTATATATCATGAAATTGGTGTGAAATGTGAAAACTTCAAACTAATTTGATGCGTAGCGAAAAACACGAAAGTTGATCCTCTAATTGATTTTTGGCCCGAAATTATGTACAGATGACCCGTCTTCAAAGTCAGTCTTATTGTAATTTTGTACCTGCCAAAACAAACACACATACCCATAAAGCTTAGCGTAGGATATTAGCAAACATAACTATTTTCACATGAGCAATGTCTGGCTAAACATGAAAGTGGAATTTTGTGAGAGAACAACATACATGCAAAGTCATTAATTTCTCAATGAATTGCTCTCAAATGTGAGCATGTATCTTTGAGACCTGCAGATTTTTATCAATTAATTTTAAAATAATTCTATAAGAAGACATAATGGGATTTATATAGGAAGCTTTAAACTATAGAACCTCATCATGATATATTATTTTCAGTGATTTGAGACCATCAGGAGCAGGTTCACGTTACACCCTAACACCATAATAGCTCTCTCTTTCATTGCCCTTGTGGTTTTGGAGTATAGACCACATTCAACCATTTTGGTAGAAAAATTCTACGATTTGCTGTGGTGTGGGAAGAGTCATGCCCGGAAGCTGCTATTATAGGTGAAATATGGAATCTTACGCATCAATATGCATGAAGCAAGTGCAGTGTGTTTTCATTGGGAGCACATAAAAAGGTTTGAATTACTTATTTATTTTCATTTAATTTCCTGAGGTATACGAATAATAGATTATATTATTGGTCGGTTGTAAATTTATAATATAATATATGAATTGCCACTGTGTAACTAACTGCCCTGGTCATGCCAGCCAATCAGGGGGTGAGATATGGTGTATTTCCGATTTAATTCAAATTAACTCTATTATTTCCATATTTATAGATCCTGAAAAAATGAAGCATATTCAACTTCAACCATATGGTGTAAATTGCAGGTATACCATATGGGGGTGATATTTGGTATAACAATTTGGTAAATATAATAATCTGATAACAGAAAAAGGTTTTCAAACTTGCGCATGTATGGATTTTGCCGAATTGTTATTCCGATTTGAGTTTAATCATCACCGGAACTTTTCTTATTTATAAATTTACTGGGATTTACTTATTAACTTGCACACAGTGATTTGCATTTTGATGTTTTCTAATGCAGATTTAAATGTTGAAACTTGCAGGCATTTATTCATAAATTTGCAGCAAACAAAGATTGTTATTGTTTTCAATTTGATTCTGTAATTGTTGTAATAATTAGATATAGGTAAGATTTAGGAGACATCAATCTCCAGGGCATACTGCAGGTACGCTTCCTAGGCATTGCTTTCCTTAGAATCTCCTTCAATACCTTTACCCTCTTATGCATGGTTTGGAGATGGCTAGCTTAAAAAACAACATTATTCCAATCAATCAATTACCTAAAACTGTCTCTCTGGGAGGATGCAAATGGAGTAGAGACTATTAGATTTTAATTTTTGTCCTTTTCCTTTTCGATGTATCAAAAAAATTACCTAAAACTGTGCTGCAATTTTTTTTACCTAAAACTGTGCTGCAATTTTTTACAATCCGACAAAAGTTTTTTAAACACAACTTCCTTTGACATTCCTGGGTAAATAAAAGCACAAATACCCAAAGGTTAATATACCCTAATGAGTAACCCCCTTTGTTTTGAATTTAGCGTCAACTTTCTAGGTGCAAATCCTAGTATGTTTAGCATTTACAGGCAAACCTTTTTATGTTCACGGAAAAATAAAAATAAAAAAAAAATGAGAAATGTACATCCAAATTAAAAAACCTCTTCGTCATGATAGATCACTTTCCAAACGGTGAAAATCCAACGTGGACTGGCTCACGAATCATACACCACATACTAACCATTTTAGAAATAAATTTAACTTGTTTTTAGCAATTCTACTTGATGTGTATTGGTGTGAGAAGTGTGATACCCGAAGGCTGCTTATATAGGTGAAGTGAGATGTGTAATTAACGTGGCTAGTTCATTTTCAACCATTGGCTGATTTGAATTTGAAAACAATAAATAAGGTATACTATTCCGACCATCCATTCAACCAATTGAATTTAAGTTTTGACTATTCACACCACCCACTTCAACCAATAAAAAATAAGAGTTTTATTTAACTAAAATCCACCATCCAACTAATTAATTATGTGACTGTACCCACCTCCTTTTCGACCAATTGCAGCATTTATATTTTTTCCCTTCAGCGTATCCTTGCCCATCCCCCTCCTGTAAACAGTGTTCAAATCTCACTTTATCTCATGTGGATCTTCCCACCGTTCAACTGACCAATAATAACTCACCATGCAAACAAACTATATTATCGGATCTTGCAATTTGCAATTTAATTTTGATGGAAATATGAACAAAAGGATGATGTTGACATTTTTGGGAGGGAACCCTATTCACAAAAAAGTGTTCCTTTAGATATTAATAGATATCTGTCCACTTCCATAGGTAATAAAAGTCGCTTCAAGCCTGCAAAGCTTGGTCAAACACACCGCTTCTCCAATACGTTACAGCTCCTAGGTTTACTGAAGACCATCTTCCTTCTGCATGTCAATCACGCCCAGCTTCTGTAGTTAGGGAATCGCTGCTAGGAGCTGCACCCCAACATCACGGAATCTCCCAAATCTTCTATTGGCTCGTGTTCTGTCAACGAATTCTAGGTAAGCTCTCTAATAAAATGGAATTTTCAGTTTTTGTTTAAAATTTGAATGTGATTGGAATCAAAAGAGCAATTGAGCTTCTTTATTTACTACCTCTTCTTCAAGGCCAATTCAGCTTTGTTTTTTTAATACCTGGCAATTTTTTAGAAGGTTTAGATAGGGAAGGATGGAGTAATTTTTTCATTAGTTTTGAAACAACAATCTGAAACAGCATTCTTTAAAATTCGTGTGATTCAAATGAGAAGGTTTAGATAGGGAAGGATGGAGTAATTTTTTCATTAGTTTTGAAACAACATTCTGAAACAACATTTTTTAGAATGCGTGTGATTCAAATGAAAAGGCTTAGATAGGGAAGGATGGAATATGTTTTTCATAAACAACCAAAACCAGTTTTAAATATATATATATATATATATATATATATTATAGCCCCTATCTTTATTTTCTTTTAAATACCATGAACTGGGAACATTGTGGGGGTCAAAGCTAAGTCTGATCTAGAACATCCACTCATTGTATAAACTTTCATCACATTTTTTCCAATACACAGTATACACTCTATATCTTGGAGTTACTCACATAGAGATGGAGCACATGGAACCGATTTCGGCAACACTGAAATATTAATAAGATTATTAGACCAAACATATTACATATATAGGTAAAGCAACTTTAAAGTCTAAGAAAAGAATGCAACCAAGTACAGAGCATACATCTTCATTTTATGGGAATCAGGGAATACGATGTATGTATGGTCTATACTCAATGTCTTTATCTAAACATAGCTTATATTTCATATTATCCCTGATATTTAACTTAGGTTGGTAACGTTGAGTTGATGTTTGGTTCCCATAAGTCTAAACCTAGTCTGTGGCTGAATGACTTGTAGTCATTTCTGTCATTTTCTGCTCTAGTCATCTACCGTTGCCCGTTGGTAGTTATTTGAGTTTGTACTTTATTTGTGTAGTTTTAGTTCTTTGAGTTTGTACTCTTCTTCCTGAAGGACAAGCCTTGGTTTCATTAATTCACATAGTTCCTTTAGTGATGATGTTAATAATACTGCACTAAACTAAACCGAGTGAAAATACTGCACTAAACTAAACATCTGAGCCAACCTAGTTTTGACTACTTTCAACTCTACAGTCATGGAGCTAAAGTTGTGGATTAATTTAAAACCTAGCTGAAATCCCTATTCATGGCATCAGAACACCAGAAATACTTCACTAGAAGTCTAGAACACCTCACCATATAAGGATGTCAAGAAAAGTTGACATCCTTATATGAAAATCTTATAAAAGAGGAAATGTTGCAACAATTAAAATACACTCTTGCCCTCCCTTCTTTTCTCCTTACTCTGCCTTATTTTCCCTTTCCTTCATAGTCCATCTGCGCATCCTCATATTCATTCTCTAGCTCTGCCCGGACAGGTTCTCTTTTCTTATCTTTTATCGCTGCTCATCCAATCCTCTTCAATCTTGAATTCTACATGTATGGATTTTTTTAATGTACGTAAGTAATGCTTTGAAAGTGTTCGTTGAAATGTATTGTGACACTTGAAAATATCTCCCCTTCTCATTTACTTTCCTTTCTATGCGTGGTGCATAGAAATTGTGTGATAAAATGCTTGAGTTAGCCACTTGGCCTTATAATATATGCGTGCAGTTGTCTTATCTTGCTCACCAGGCTGGACTATCAACTATGATATGTTGTCTCTACATCAAAATTGGAATCATGTAGTTTTAATATAGTAGGAAAAGTTTTTATTTAGAAAATGTTTCTTCATTCGTTTAGAAATCAAATTAAGCAAAACTTTTAGACCAATATATGTGCGTATATGGGGATATACAGAGGTGAAGGAAATTTCAAAGATAAGTCCGTAAGAGCTTATATTTAAGAACTCCTTTATCAGTCAATCCATTTGCTTCTCCGTCTTTTCCGAACATACCAGTCACCAGGTCGGCTAAGGTAATGATGCAGCAGTAAAGTAGAAAGCTGAAACCTGGTAATTCGGCCCATTGTTTTTTAATCTCTAAGTTGGTTCTCAGGTTTTGCATCTTTCTCATAGACTCATAGTGCATAGCTTCTCCATCCCAATGCCTCATTTTGTGGATGCCAATTGCCAAACCATCTATTTGATCTTCATTCCAGTAGTGCAGTGTTCTTAATTTTCATTTTTGCATGATCTTAGATTTCCTTTTTGGGTATTGAGTTGTGAATAAACTTATTTAAGTTTTTTTATTTATTATACAACAACAACATTACCCCACTGTCGCAGCCCGCAAAGGCTCCCACCTACGCTGGGGTAGGGCGGTCGGATGTACGCAGCCTTACCCTATACCAAAGCACATAGAGACTGTTTCCTGATACCCATGATGAAAGTCACTCGAAAATTGCATGGAGTGACTGCTGATTCTTAAAAAAAGCATAGACAGTTTAGTGAACCTGATGGAGTATATGGCCCAGGAGCCCCCGGCCCATAGACTCCTACTTCTCCTACATAAGCCCATTGAGCCCAGGGAGCACTCCAGGCCCAAATGCAACGGCCCAAGCCTCAGATTGGCCCAGAATACACACTGGGGTGCCTTCGGCCTCCTTGGCCGAAGGCTCCAAAACTCACAGGATAGCCTTCTCTGGCATAAGAAGCTACTGGGAGAAAACGGCGAAAAACATGAGCCTTCGGCATTGTCAAGCCCTCGGCATCAGAGAAGCCTTCGGCTGAACCAAAGCCTTCGGTCACACAGGGCCTTCGGCTAAACAGGGGTCCTTGGTCACATGGAGCCCTCGGCTACACGAGGAGCCTTCGGCCAAACACGCTCAATCATCGAAGATTCCTTTGGGAGACAGCCAACCACCGCATTTAATGCAACGTCACATCCGCCAACCGCATTCAATGCGGTGAACGTACCACTGCCGGTGCCACCCGGCTGATGGGACCCCTCGGCCGTTGGATTGCTGACACGTGTACTCTCATCGCATTTATTGCTGCCCATTTCTCCTTGTAAACGATCCCAACTCCACATCTCGAGTTCATTTAATAAATCGACTCTCTCTCCTCCTATTTGCTCTGACTCCTCTCTAAGTTATTCCCGCAATAACCCCTCAGATAAGATACCCCCGGGTAGACTGTCCATCAGAACCATTTTGCTTTATTCCATCATATTCCATAACCAAAAAATGGTGAGTCTGTGACTCCATTGGAAATGATGGAACTTTTTTTTAAATCTTTTTATTTTTATTTTTTATGATGAATATAATATTTTTTTTGAAGTGTTGAACATTTCTGTATAAAACTAGAACCGCTTTGGACATTTTAATGCTAGACTTATTTCCTGGTAGCCTATATTATGAATAAAAAAATGTAGATCTCTAAATGCAGGGGCAGGGAAGGAAATTTTCAATTTTATCATTTCAAGATACTTGTATGGCCTCGCAAGGTCAAAACAATTAATGAAATTGATTAAAAGTAGCAACATGAACTTAAAACAAGCCGTCCACTTGCTTCCACTGTAAAGGTGAAAGTTTTATTTATCTTGTAGTTTAGGGGAGTAAAGTTGACTTCACCGGTTCACCCTAAGGAATAAGTAAAAAGTTCCCCTGGGGAGTATAATTGGGGTTTTAGCTCATAAAATCTGAATCTCATACAAAAGTAACTCAGTATGGCTTCAAAATTGAAGAGAAATGTTGCAGAAGGTGTAGACCTAATGATTTGTAATGGAATCAAGGGAGGTTGGTTTAGATGGTCTAATCAATCATCATTTGGCGTTATTTCTAATTTTTTCAATTGATGCCTTTAATTTAATACTCCTATTATGGATTGCAACACTTTAGCTCCTTTATGTAGCACTTCCTATCTGCTACATAATGTCGAATGCCAATTATATAGTAGCTAGGGTGATTTCATGAAAGCTTTTCCGGAAGGTTATTGGATTGTATTTCAATAGCTGAGCTTAAAGTTGTGGGAACTGGAATCTCTTTCTTTGTAAAGTTGCAAACCATTAGAGTGCTTTGTGTCAATTGTGATATGAACTCTTACTTCTAGATGATATGAACTCTTCTCTTACTTTTTATCTCCTTTTCCTGCCCTTTTTTTTTAATTAAAAGAGTATGAATATCAACTTCACAGGAAAGACCAGATATATACAAGAGACTGGTTCAAAATTTTGGATTTTTTATGGCACAATGCTCTCTCGCTAACATTGGTGTGTTGCCGAGAGCATGGGAGTAACTTTCATCAGTAAAAGCATCTTGGTGCGACTATCAAGGAAGTTTCGACATGTCCAAGCACGATCACTCTGCAGCAATAACAAACCACCCACCAACAACAGCAATATAAACAAGGAAGTAGTAGAATCTTCCTCTTCTTCTTTGACACGATATGATGCTTACAAGGAGCTAGACAACCTCAATTTCATCACGGCTGCTAAGATTCTCTTTTCCGATCCTCCCAAGAAAAAGAAATTTGGGTAGTTTTTCCGGAACTCTCTTTCAGGCAATCTGTCCAAAACTTGTTTGAATATATATCACTTCATGATTCTTGCTTACTATCATGCAGCTGTTATACAAACATAGAATGGATATTCCGAACACATCCAGTATAAGCTGTTTTAGTAGTTTAATTTAATATATTTCTCTCTTCATTTAATAGGACTAGGATAAAGCTTATTTGAAAACATAGAGCCACAAATAGAAGAGGAAGACAAGATGAGGGCAGGTTACCAGTGCATTTAATCTGTATTGTTTTATGTTTAAGTATGGAGCTTTGTTTATATGATCAAACTTCCCCTTTCAAGGAACTAAGGAAGTATACATTACACAACTCTACTTACTGATGTGTGAGTATGGTACTGTAGCCTCACTTTACTCTTTTAATTGCAGAGCAGTGATCTTATTCTTTTTTTTTATATTTTTAATTTTTATATTTCTATATATATTATATATATTTTTTTACTCAGGGGGGGGGGGTCTGGGGGAAGGGTGCTGGGGGGAGCCTGGAGTAATCAAGGCTGAAACTCACTCCATTGAGTTTCCAACCCTTGTGTGTTAGCGGGATTCGAACTCGAGACCTCCCACTAAGCACGGTAACCTCACAACCAGCTGGGCTGGAATGCGTGGTTGATCTTATTCATGTAATGTTGTAATTTTTATTTATTTATCTTTATGATGGTCAGGCTCGATTTCCATCTGGTACAACTTTTCTTTGCCTGCCTGCCTTCACTGGGTACCTCTCATCACTCATCCTTGGCTTTACTATATGTTTCAAAGTGTTATTTTGTTGTTGACATAATTTGAATGTCAAATGTCATGTAACAGCTGTGTATTTGGTAGCCCAATATGCTCGCTATGATATCAGAAGAATGGAGGCGGTAATGGACACCTCGATTGTCTTTTTTATTTCGCTTCCACCCCACTTGTTCTTGTTGCTCCACATTCCACTACTCTTTGTAAATTTGACTATCTCACTTATTCTTCTGCTCAAGATCATTATTATTACGTCCCAAACGGGTCCTGATTGAGTAAGGTGCATCTCATCATTTTAATCAACTCAATCACATTCAAAGTATAAACTTTTATATATTATCATGAATGACCACTTTTACCCCTTATCTGTTATCATGTTATATGGATTTCAATAATGATGATTATAGTAATATAATAATAGTGATAACAACAATAGTAGTAGTAGTAATATGTATAGTTACATGCCACTCTAAAAAAATAGTTACATGCCTTCAGCCTACTGGAGTTGAGCCACCTCTCTCGAAAGTTTGTGAAATTGATGGGTTTATCTGCATATGAAGATGAAATTAAATGATTGTCCAGTGAAATGAGTGATTAGATGAAATTGTTACTTGTAGCTTCTGTTACAACTAAAAATTTCAAATGGTGTTGCCTTTTTGTTTGACAAGGTGTAAATATAGTGCAAGCAAAAGTAACATTTCTTAAAATCTCTTCGAGCCTTTCTACTATTTGACATCTTAACCTATTTGATCCATGAACCCAGTTCCTAGTCAAACTATATAAAACCATCTCAGAATGTGAACCTCAATGAATTGAATAGTTAAGCTCTTCAGATTTATTCAAATTAGAAGTTTATGCAGTGTGATGGTCACCAATTTTCAAATTTTCATTTCAGGAAGTGGAATTAAAAAAGAAAGCTGAAGAAGAAGCAAAAGCAAAAGAAATGGAAGCAGGAGCAGATATGGAGAAAGAAGAAACATCTGATCCAAAGCTGTTGGAGTTGAAAGCGAGGTTGGACAAGTTGGAGGAGGCAGTCAAAGGAATAGTGGTTGAATCAAAAAAAGAGTCGCCTGCTGGAATTGGGAAAGGCCCAACAATTGGTAGTCAGGATAAACAAACTTCAATAGCTGGAGAGCGAAACACACAAGTATCAGGTCACAAGTAGGCACATTTCTAATGTTGAAAACTATGCAAACAAGAAGACTATTGGGGAAACACCATTTTCTTCACTCTTCAGCCTCTATTTTTGAAGTACATGCATGGTTGAGTTAATGATATACATAGTACTTGTCATCATGAGGGAAGCAATATATAGTGTATTTTCCATTATCATTCATAGTATTAAAACATGAAATCTTGTATATTGTACTCACAACAAAATATTAAAATAAATATACGAGAATGATATAATAAATTCTACACTTTCAATATGATATTTTCATGTTGATAAAAATAATGACATACTATGAACTGATGTGTTAAAATAATAATGCCATTTTGAAATCCAAATTTTTGGCATTTTTAGATTGAATATAATTGCATTTTCAGACCTGAAATTACACATTATCGTACCTAATTTACGGGAATTTACATCAAAACAACTATGGATTCGTCATATTAAATTATGATATTTTCTGATTGAAATATAAAATGTGAGAAGACTCAAAAATGATAAAAGGATTTTGAAATTGAAAATGATGGCATTGTATATTAAAGAAAAAATGGCCCGTATATTAGTATTAGAGTTTTCATTTCCAAGCATATGACAACTTTTGTATTTTCCAAAAAAGTGCCTGATTTAAAATATACGGAGCCTTGAAATTCCCGTCTCCCCCAGCGAGTCTATGTCCATCTTCAGCGAAGCATCCAGCGGCAAAGCATCCTGTGGCGAAGCATCCATCAAGCGAACTCGGAACTCCACATCGCCGGTCTCTCCATCGCTTGTCCCTGCATCACCACCGTCTACGAACACATCACCGTACCATCTCCGCCGCTTTCCAATCGCATCACATTACCGCCCCCGGCTCTGTGACCAGGGTTTGCCGAGGACGACGACACTCTGCTACCCCTCTTTGACTCTGTCTCTGCTCGCTTGTCATATTCTTCTTCTTTAATTTGTTTATTTTGTCCCAGATCTGGATCTCCCAGGTCGTCTTCTTCGTGCAGCTAGGCAATGGGGAATTGACGGGTGCAGGTGGTGAGGATGGGTTAGTGGCTGGGGCTGGGGTGAAAACCGAATCTGATTTTGGCTGAGGATGGGATTAGGCGGTGGTCAATTGATGAATAGGTGCAGTGGCGGCCATCAGACGGTTCACTATGATGGGTTTGGTGGACTGTGGCTAGTCTGATAGGCATGAGTGGGGCTGCAGTGGCAGTCAGTCACCGGACGGGCAATCACTAGATCAGAGACGGAGTGTCATTGTGGGGCAGGCAGTCACTGTGACGGTGGGGCAGTCACTGTGGCGGTGGTCAGTCACTGTGGTCAATGGGGCAGTCACTGGGGCGGTGGGGCAGTCACTATGACTGGTGGGTGGCGGTGGGGCAGTCACTGTGACAGGTGGGCAGTCACTTGACCGGAGTCACTTTGGTCGGAGTCACTTTGGATTGTTGGGGCTAATTTGATGTTGGTCACATGTTTGGAATTTTTAAAAACACTTCACTTTTTTTGTCCTTTATCTTTTTTTTAGTAATATCCAGGCCAAAAGGCCTATATTAAACACTACAAACATGTTTACTAAAAGAGATATTTTTCAAAATTGGAAAACAGAAAAATGGAAAACAGAAAATGTGTTTACCAAAAAAATCCTGGAAAACTAGAGAAAGAAAAACATAAAATGTGTTTACCAAATTGATTTCCAAAACAAAAAACATGAGATATGTCCTTGTTTATCTTAATGAATTCGAGAATTGAGTTTTACTAGTTTTCCAAATTTGGTAAACGCATTACGCATATGCTTTAGAGTCGCTGCAAGAAATTGCATACTTTGGAGTTTGGATCATGTCTCACTCCGATGTCAGTTCCAGTCCAATCCGGTGAACAACTCGACGGTCCCTGACCGATTGAGTCCGTTCAGTGGTCAAGCAGTTTTGTCTGGTCCGGTCGACGACCCGACTGTCCCGGTCCAGTCGACGATCCGACGATCTCGGTCCGATCAATTACTAGAAGGTCCCTGTCAGGTCCATCGACAACTCGGCCCAGTGCTTGTTTGGTCCATGATCCGGCAGTCCCTGTCCGATCCACAACTCGACGGACCTTGTCTGGTCCAGTCAATAACTCGGCAGTCCCTTTCCAGTTTGATCCATGACCAGGCGATACCTATTCGGTCTGGTCATCAACCCGACGGTCTCGATCTAGTCTGCTCAACTACTCAACGGTCCCTGTCTGGTCCGGTCGACGACCCAACGGTCTTGGTTTGGTCGGGTCAGTGACCTGACAGTCCTAGTCTGGTCCAGTCGATGATCTGGTCCCTGTACGGTTCGGTCCACAACCTGTTGGTCCCCGTCCTATTCGATCAACGACCTGTCAGTCCCCGTTACGTCCAGTCAATGAACTGGCGGTCTTCGTCCTATGTGCCCTGATAAGACCTGGCAATTGTTGTTCGGTTCGATTGACAACCGGGCGGTCCTGAGTTGGTCACGTCAATGACCCAGCGGTCTCTGCCCAGGCCGGTCAATGACCTAGCGGTCAGTCTCAGCATTTTGAAATCATTTTTTAAAGTGAAGCGTTTTAAAAGAGTCATTGAGTTGTCAAACAATAGGAAAATGAGAAAGAATTATTCTACCTAACCCTTGAGATCGATCAGGACAGGCCGATTTCAATTCGGTCCAGATTTTCCTATACGTGGGACATGGTCAACCCTACTTGGGTTGTACTAGGTTTAGTTCCGGACTGGAACCGTACTTTCGGTCTTCTGATCGTTCACATAACCGAGTGAAAAAATTTGATGACCATGTTTTCAGATTTGATAATGGAAAACTAAAAAATGAAAATAGAAGAGTGAAGATTGAAAAACTGAAAAATGAAAACATAAAATTGGAGAACGGAAAACAGAAAAGAAAATTGAAAATATCTCTGTTAGTAAGCATGCCCTACATTTTCAAAAGTAAGTTAAACATTAAGAATTAATGAAAATAAAAAAATAAAAAAATAAAATAAGAAGAAGAAAATTAAAATAAACTTTCCAAAAAAGAAAAGATGAGAGCAAAAAACAGGTGGAGGAAGAGGGGGATTATGACTAATACAGTAATACATACTTGGAGATGTGTTTTCCTTTATGTGGCATTTTCTATTTATCCTGAAAGTTTCAATTTCTTCTTTTATTTTGAACATAAAAAACTTTCCGTAGCTAATATTTCTACTCTATTTTATATCCTATATTCTTTAATTCAATAAATTGCTTAAGAGGTATGTTCGAGACTTCGAGTTACCGTCTAATTTCTATAATTTCTATCAATCCTGCTATAGGTATTCCAATTAGTACCCCAATTTGTACCTCAACCTATTTTTGTGGCTCACAAAAGCCCACCTTAATAAATGAATTGCTCCACTTTAATGAGGTGCTTTTGTGAGCCACAAAAATAGGGTGAGAGTACAAATTGGGGGTACCAATTGGGGTACCTTTAGCATTTTTCAATTTCTATAGGGAGTACTTTTTTATTTATTAATGAAAATTCTCATTTATTTTTGCAATAATAATGGAAGTAGACTGATCACAGTTTGAATTAGTATGACAACTTTTTTCATCTGGTGATAAAATAACATGCATAACTGGACCATTATTGACGTAGGGTCTCTATAGTAAGGGAGTGTTTGCAACAACTTAAAAAAAAACACTTCTCAGCTTTTGGCTTAAAAAACACTTATTTACCAAACACTACCAATTTTTACTTTTTCTCGGCTTGCATGTGAAAAATATTTTTCTCTTTTCTATTACACAAAAAACACCTATTTTACCAAACACTACCAACTTTTATTTTTCAAAATCACTTTTTTCTCAAACACTATAAACTTTTACTACTAATCATTTTTTCCTTACATCTCCAAAAATGTTTTTTTAAGCAGAAGCAGTTGCAAACACTCCCTAAGATTATTCATGAATAAATCACCGCAGGACCATAATGGTTGAGATTATAATTATCATCAAAATTTTCATATACTTTTATATCCATTTGATTTACATATTTGTTTTCCCGCAATTTGACAATCGATAGTTGTTAAATCTCATATAATCATATTTTGGATGGGGTTAACCGAGTGTGAATGTTTTTGCTCGAACTGGCTTATGTCTCACATCAGACGAAATTAGACTCTAAAGATCAGATCAAACTAGATCAGAATTCGACAATTGTAAAATACACAAAGACTAGACATCTACCATATCAACTCAAACTAAACCAGATCAGACCACATAATATCAGAAAATTTCAGTCATCTAAGAAATTATCCGACATCTTTATTATTTTAGAATAAATCCTTCATTCCATAATTATTATTTTAGTTTGACTTGATGCACTTATAGTTGTATCCTCGATATATATTTATAAAAGAATGTACACCCCTTCCAATAATCTTATGTTAGAATAAATAAATAAAAATTATAACAGATTTTAGGGACTTTTTTGGGGTTTAGGGATCATCGAGAATAGTCTAAGACCCCGGCCCGGGCCTCTTATATCTTTCCTCCAAGTATAACAACTAGCAAGAGTCTAAGGGTTGGTTTGCAACTGCTTTTAAAAAAGCACTTCTCAGCTTTTGGCTTTAAAAAGCACTTATTTTCCCAAACACTACAACTTTTATTTTTCTCGGCTTCCGCGTCAAAAGTGCTTTTACTTTTTCTATTACACAAAAAGCACTTATTTTACCAAACACTACCCACTTTTACTTTTCAAAATCACTTTTTTCTCAAACACTATCAACTTTTATTCAATCACTTCTCCTTATTTCATTTAAAAAAGCACTTTTTTAAAAGCAGAAGCTGTCGCAAACAGACCCTAAGACCTATAATTTCGATTCCTTATGCGTACTTTGTTTATAAGCCAAAGTCAAAGACTACTGGAATATAAGATTGTTTCTTTTAAAAAAAAGGATGACACCCCATCCCTGAGGACCCCCCAACACCGACCGGACAGCACGATGGGAGAATGTAAGTTGGACTATAATCACAACCTGACAGATAGAGAGTGAGGCTCTGTCCTCAGTACTTGCAGAGGCCCTATGCATTTTTCAGCATAGTAACCCCTTATCGCAATTGCCGGGATTCGAACCCGAGACCTAACCCTTGTGGTACTCCCTCGCTACCAGTTGAGCTACGCCCACCGGTTATAAGATTGTTTCTTTGCACCTTTGTTTGTATTATGCACTTTGTGAACAATATAATAATACGTACGTTCGTGTATAATACGATACAATTAATTATACGTAGTATAAAATATAGTTAAATGTATGTTTCATACGTTCGTGAAATGGATAAA